CACTTTCCCTGAAGTGGACAAACGCCACGCGCGAGAGGAGGCTCTGAGGTACGGAGGAGCTTCTGTGGTGAAGCACGTCCTTGAGGTATGTGAAATTAATGTTGCTGTTTACTTATTCTGTTTCTTCTTTTCTGGTTTTTTGAACTTCTGCTTTGATTTGCAGAGCGCGAGCTGGGTGAACGGTCTAGCCCAGGAGTTCAGAGAGAGTACCAAGGAGCGCGTACTCTTGCAGAGGCAATGTGACCAGCTGCGAAAGGAGAAGGAAGAGCTGGAGAATAAGAATAAGGAGCTACAAGGGTCGCTGGATAAGGTGGTGCCAACTCTGCAGCAGTTGGAACAGGAGAGGGCTTCCCTGGGCACCAAGCTCGGCTTTGAAGAGACCAAGCGAAAGATCTCTGAAAGCGAGCGTGAGGCTCTTGCGCAAGAGTTGAAACTAACAAAGGAGGCCTTCTTAGAGCTGAAGGGGAATGTGCAGACCCTGGTGCACAACGCGATGAAGGAGCACATCAGCAACTTCATCAGCTCTAGCTCGTTTGACAACATCGTCAACCTCTACCGATTGCCAACTGCCATCATTGCCTTCACGGACTGCAGAAAGAAGGTGAAGACTGTCTATCCCGAAGTGGATGTGACAAGGATAACCTTTGGAGAACAAGAAGCTGGAGTGGAGGAAGATGGTGAAAGTATGTCAGCAGACTTCCGCCCAGAAATCAAACTGAAGTGGGAGCACGATGCTGATGGACGCACTGTTTTCCCTCCGAACTTCGACTTCGAGTTCGTGGCAGTGGAAGAAGGAGGGGCAGAGGTAGAGGAAGATGAGGTGGAGGCAGGAGTGGAAGGAGCTGGAGTGGATGAGAGCCAACCAATTCCAGAAGTGGAGATTCATCCAGTTCCTTCTGATGATGATCAGCCTCTCCTGCTAGACGAGCAGCAACCAGTACAGCCACCTCTTCCAGCTGGAGAAGAGCCAGTGGAGCCACCTCCTCCAGCAGAGAATTAAAAATTTTGTGTGTTGTTTTTTAATTAGTTTTAATTTTGTAAAGACAATTACAGTTTGTACTCTTTATTTTTAAATAAAGATTTATATTTGAAACCATGTGTTTGTTTATATTTGTTTTACATTTTTGGTATTGTTTTTATGGACAAAAGAACTGAAAGTACTTGAAACTAGGTTGAGAAGAATTAAGAAGTAATCCACTTCAGATAAACTAAGAGGAAGTAAAGAAGTAATTCACTTCAGACGGATTAAAAAGAAGCAAGAAGAAGTAATTCACTTCGTATAAAGTAAGAACAAGTGCATCATTGCAGATCAAACAAAAGGAAATAAAGCACTTCAAATGTGAAGTGACATTTATTAACAGAAGTGGATGAACTGATTGACCTCAGATACATAGAATAAGAAGTGAAATGATTTGTAACAAACACTAAGCGAAAAACGCAAGGAACAGTAAGATCTAGAACACTTGAAAGAATTTCATTAAGGGTAAAATCTCTTCAAGTTATTGATATTCCAGACT